GCGAGGCCCGCTCAGATGCGGGTCTCAGACAGCCCACACCACACCAGACCTTTCTGGCTGGACGGACCATGCCTCCGCCCCTGACGCTTCCCTGGAAGCAGAGACAGACTTTGCCCGCTTGCTAATGGCTGAGGGCAGGCTTACCCAACCCAGCTCCGCCAGACAAGGAGCTTGATAACAGGCAAAAATCAACAGCATAGCTCTGTTCTCCAGCAAACGCCACTACTGACAGGGCGGCATCTTTGCACGCCTTTCCCGGCACCCACTGCACATCAAAATACAGGAAGTGGTCCAATTTACCAAGGACACTAACGCCTCAGAAAACTAAAAGGTGTGTGAATACACCAAGAATAACTTAAGGAAAGACGCCAACAACTGTCGACATGGAAAATAGCGAAAGATCAGGAAATATGAGAACCAAACGGAAACACACCCCAAAGAGGAGCACCAGCCCCTAGACCGGCACGACCAAAATCAGGGCAACCAATATTGACAGGAGAAGTTTCGTATGGTGGATCATAAAGAACACTCACTCGTGCACAAACTCATAACCAACACAAAGAAACCACAAAGCCTCAGGATATGGGAAAGAAATCGACAATGAAGAAACGGTAACCGACTCCTGAAATGAAGAATCAATTCAAGGAACTCAAATACCAGTGGAAAGTCTCAGAACAGGGTAGGTAAAACGGAAGGAAATGAATCTCAGAGCTTGAGATTAACCTCCATTAAATAACTCCGTCACAGAATAGGCAGAGAAACAGAGAAAAGAGCAAAGGCTACAAGAGCTGTGCGGTATTATGTGGAAGAAACCTAATGTAGGGATCATAGGCTTACCAGAAGGGGAAGAAGACAACACTCAAGGGTTGGCAAGGCTGTTTGAGAGAATATAGGGAAAATTTCCCAGGCCTTGCTCAAATCTTGATATACAAGTTCAAGAAGCTCAGAGGACCCCTGGGAGATTCAACGCAAACAGGGAAGACGTTCACGACATGCAGTCCTCGACTGACCAAAGTATCAACTAAAGAGGGCCCTTCTATAGAGCTGTAAGACAGAAGCATCATCAAGGGAAAGCCATGAATAACCAGACTTCGTTAATGAGACTTTAACATGGAGGAGCGACTGGGCCCATTCTCACTTTTTGACAAACAATGCCCAGCGTAGAATATTTTCCTGCAAACTAGGCTTCGTATTGAAGGAGAAATAAAAAACATTCTCGAAAAAGGCTCAGAAATTCACAAGACAAGACAGCCTACAAGGTTATTAAACGCGTTACACCGGACACTCATAATATAACCCGCAATTAAAACACCAAAACCCAAGATATTAAAGGCCAGGATTTATTTATTGGCCAGCCAGAATCATAAGCCAACTCCCCACGAATGATCACTAATCTCCTTACCTATCAGTATTTCAATAAATGTGAATGCTTCAACTCTCACTGAGAATAGGCTGGGCTGAGATGGATAAGAAGATAGTTAGTGCCAAGTATTGCTGTCTTCAGGAAATCTAACCTGCAAGGACTGCGATCGGGGACTAATAAAAGGGGGTGGAGCTCAATATTCCAAGAAATAGAAGCAAGAAGGCTGGTTGTGGCCATCTATTTCAGACGATTAGTTTTACAAAAAATAGTTAAGACAAAGAGGGTCAGTTACTATAATGGTGAGGGCACAGTCCACAAGAAGAGGTCCTTCTTAATTATATGCACCCACTTAGGTTCACCCAGATTCATAAGCACCTGTACTGAGCTAAGCAATGATAAGCAACTCCATAATGCCGGAGATTTCAACACCCCCTGAGCCAGACAGTACTCCAACATGAAAATTAATAAAGATAATGGACTTTAACAACTCTAGAACAAATTGGCGTCTGGCTGGATCTACAGAAATTCTACCAACTCCAACTGCTTATGTTCTTCTTCATTCACGGGGACATTCTTTTTCTTTCTTAAAAGATTGGACCATATCCTAGGCGCAAGAAAATCTCAAGAATTTAAAATCGATCTACATTCCTTTCGTCACGTGATATAAACTAGAATGCACCCTATAGAATCACATTTCTACAAAACGTGGAAATTAACAACTTTAGGATGATGACTTCTAAAGAAGATCAGACGGAAATAAAAGGTTCTATGAGAAACGGAGAGACAAGTTATCAATCCTCTTGGGACACAGCTCAAGCAGTTCTGGGAGAGAATTTATCTCCATCATCTTCATAAACAAGAGAGAGATAACAATCAGACAATCTATGAAACTCCAAGAGCGGAAAGATGACAGACCGGGGACCAACTCAAACCCAGCAGGAAGAAAGTGCATCAACAAGATCAATCGACTAACCGAAATGAAACAGGGAGGCTATCAGGAGATTAATAAAATCAAAAAGGTATGGTTCTTTAAAATAACAAGACTGACACCTTGGTGCTAAAAGCAGCAAGAAACTCTATCAAGCTCATGGATAAAAGGGTGTATTCACAACTTGATCCCCAAAGGGATAAAGTACAATTATGATCTACAATTTATGCAACAACTAGAATGTGGGAAATTGAGACTTCTGAAACACAGCTCCCTAGGCTCACCAGGAAGAATAGATATCCCTGACCGCAATCTCACGCTGATAGAACAGCAATTTAATTCCTAAAAGAACGTCCCGGTCCAAGATGGCTTCAACTGAATTTCTACCTCTTACAAAGAAGACTAGTACCTTCTTGCGACTGTATCACACATCGGAAACGGAAACCTCCCCGCACCTTTTTGAAGCGATATTTCTGTACCAAACCAGAGATTCCAATCAGGAACTACGACCAAATATCCCTAATGAAATATAGATGCAAATTTTCCAAATCTTAGTAACGAATCGAACTTTATCAAATTACCCCACGCGTGGGGTCTCCAGGGTGCAGGGATGTCAACATAGTAATCTATACATGCATTCACAACATAACAGAGCAACAACAGACGACCATGATTCTTTCAATGTGGCGAAACGCTTCTTTGCATCTCACAGTCTTTCATGATCGAACCTGAAGAAATAGGCATAGAAGGCATACTAATGATACAGCTAATGACAGGACGATAGCCACATCTTATGATGGGAAATTGAATCATTCCTTGACTGGAACCAGCAAGGTGGCCCACTATCTCACTCTGTTCACGTGTGCTGAGTCTTGGCTACAGATCGCAGGAATGGATCAAAGGTATTCCAAATAGGGCAGGAGGATAAACTTTCATGTTTGTGATGTTATATGATCTTAGAACCCAAAGATTACAAAACTCCCTGGAACTGAACATGTTTAGTAAAGTCTTAGGATAAACGATACACAGCAATCAGAGGATTCATATTACGCCACACAATTAATTGGAGAACAGAATCAAGATCATTCCCTTCAAATAGCACAAAGAAATAAAGGTACCTAGACTTTTACAAGGTAAAGACTCTACAGGGGACTATGAACACTGAGGAGAATAGCGGATGTCAGATGGATCCTCATCGCTGTGGATCGGCAGCTCTATCATCAAACTGTTTATACCAAATGTACAGATTCAATGAACATACCTATTAAATCCATCAATTCTTCACAGATTATAAAATAATTTACGTTTGTTGGACAAAGGAAGACCCCATTCAAGGCATCTCGGCAACAAAACAAATGGGAGGATTGAATATGCCGATATCAAACTTACTCACAGTTAGTATTCAAACAATGGTTTGGCACATAAAACAGGTTTGGACCGTGGAACAGATGGTGAGTCTGTTAAAACCATACTCATTAGCCATTATCTTTGACAAGCGACAAAAATACACTGGGGACAGCATTCCCTTTTCTAAATTGGTGTGGGAAACTTGGATGCCACCTGGTAGAAGGCTAAAACGGACCACCCTTTCACCTCTCAAGCCAAACCAATTCACGCTGGACCGACTGGTAACTAAGGTATGAAATAATTAGAACTCTAGAGGCAAAGTTGGAACATTCCTAGCATTGCCTGGGAAAGTTTATGAGAAGGTCCCCAAAGGCAATCACGCGCAACAAAATAATAAATGGGAATGATCAAAACTACAAGCTATCTGCAAGCCAAAGAATAGTCATGAAAGTAAAGAAAACTACAGAATGGGCGAAAATTTTTGCATCTATGCATCGATAAGGGACTGATAACTAGAACTATTATTAGAACTCACGAAATAGGAGAAAATCAAACCCATTAAGTGGGCAAAGGAGTTGAAACAGAAACTTTCTAAAGAAGCAGAGAATGGCAACAATATATGAAGGAAATGCTCACATCTCTATATCAGGGTGGCAAATCCAAACCCAATGAATATCATTACCAGTAGGAGAATGGCCTTACAAAAAATCTCCAAACATAATGTGGCTGTTTGCGGCAGGAGGAACACTCTACCTGCTGGTGGGACTGCAAACTAGTTACTGTGGAAGCATATGGGTACCTAGCGATACAACAATCTCCATTGATCCAGCACTTACCATTGCATGGGATACCAATATCCAATGCCACTTACAAAAGACCCTGTCTTGCATGTTTATGCGCAACACAAATTCATGTATGCCAAGGCTGTGGAACAGCCCAGTGCCATCATCCAGAATGATTAATAAATGTGGTATAGTTACCATGGAGTACTATCGCTCTAAGAACAATGGTGACATAGCACATCTTATATCCTGGTTTAGAGCTGGACCATAACTAAGTGGATCCAAGAAGGAAAAAGACCAGTATATTCTCCAGCCAAACCTGGTATTATGAGTAGACCTAAGGTGGACACATAGGTACTACGTATAGGCTTTGCGGCAGGTTGGGAGAAGGGAGGGGGGGAGTATTACATACATAATGAGCTGAGATAGTGCACCATCTGGCGGGATGGTCATGATGGAGGACTCAGACTTTTGGGGGGAGGGGGGGAAATGGGCATTTATTGAAACCTTACAATCTGTACCCCCATAATATGCCGAAATAAAAAAAAATAAATAAATAAAATAAAATAGGTTCCTTGGGGAAAAAAAAAGAAAGCAAAAAGAACAAGTAAAATTTATTTTAATTATTTTTAAGCCAGTATATCCCAAACATTATCATTGCAACGTGTAATCAGTTTAAAAATTATTAATGAGGCATTTTACATTCTTGTTTTTATCCTAAGTTTTCAAAGTCCAGTGTATCTTACACTCACAACTCATTGCATTTGGGCCAGCCACGTTTCAAATGCTTGACAGCCGCATGCGGCCAGCAGTGCCCTGGCTGGGCTGCAGAGCTCTAGATGGGAGCGGGGTCTGCGTGGGATCGTCTCACCGGGAGAAGGTCCTGACTGCCCAGTGACGGGAGTCGAGCTGAGAGCCACGGTGGGAATGGGAATTCATCTGCACATGTAAGACAGCAAATCCAGAACATGATTAAGAAAATAATTCTTTCACTTGTCAAATGAGTAAGTTTTTCTTTTCTTTATCACGTTTGGGCATTGCATTAGTAGGGAGCATAAACTGAAATTGTTAAGGCCACTTGCAAAGCTGCTATGGAATCAGGACTGAGTGTCTATAATATATGAGACAACAGACTAAAACTTACAGTCAGTCATTCATTTGCCTGCTGTATTAATACTTGAAACTTGATTTGAAATTAAGGGAGGCAGGTGATGGAAACTAACTGCTTTTATTTAATCCAATCTTAAATTAACAGTCCTTGCCTTAAGGGGTGCCGTGTGTTGCCTTTTCCGAATATAGCTTTTAAAAGTAATTTCCTCCACATGCCTTTGCAGTTAAGTGACAACTCGGTCTCGGAGCTGGAACTCTCCCCCACGTGCGGGCCTCAGCCCTTTTCCTTGGCTCCGACGGGTATGTGTTGGGTTCCCGGTTGCATAGGGAAGTGTGAGGGTGAAACCTGAGGGTGAAACCTGCAGCTCCTCCCAGCAGGAAGATCCTGACTGTACCTACTTGTGTCCGAGGATAACAATATGATGTCACCTGAAGGCACCAAAGAGGTGGACGCTCATCCTGGATGTGCTCGTCCATTTTGCTTCGGCAAAGGGATGCCCGCGGCTGGGTAACTGATAGAGCAAGGAGGTCATTCAACTCGCAGTTCTGCAGGCGGTACAGGAAGCGTCACGCCAGCATCTGCTTCCCGTGAGGGCTGCAGGGAGCTTCCAGCTAGGGCGGGGGCAAAGGGGGGCAGGCGTGTCACGTGGCGAGAGAAGGAGCAAGAGAGGGAGGAGGCGGCAATTTAGTCAATGTATTTATTTTCTTTTTTAAAATTTCAGAATATTATGGGAGTACAAACATTTTGGTTACATGTATTGCCTTTGCATCACCCGAGCCGGCGCTACGAGTGTGCCCATCGGCCATACAGAGCCCTCCGCACCCATCAGTTACGAGCTTCCCCAGCCCTCCCACCTGCCCGGTGAGCAGTGCTTCCATGTGAGCACCTAAGTGCTGGTCAGTTAGTACCAATTTGATGGCGAGGACACGTGGTGCTTGTTTTTCCTTTCCTGTGATACCTCACTTCGAAGAATGGGTTCTAGCTCCACCCAGGATGATATAAGAGGTGCCAGTTCACCATTGTTTTTTATAGTTGAGTAGTACTCCATGCTATACATACACCACATTTTTATTAATGCACTCATAGACTGAAGGGCACTTGAGTTGTTCCCACATCTTTGCAATTGTGAATTGTGCTGCCATAAACATTTGAGTGCAGATGTCTTCATTATAAAGTGTATTTTTTCCTTTGAGTAGATACCCAGTAATGGGATTGCTGGATCAAATGGTATTCCTATTTTTAGTTCTTTGAGATATCTCCAAATTACATTCCACAGAGATCGTATTAATTTGCAGTCCCACCAGCAGTGTCCTATCTCTCGGCATTGGGAGTCGGGAGGGTGGGAGTGGGCCGCCTCATAACTAACGGATGCTGTGAGCACTGTGGAGAGGAAGGGCGCGCCTCTAATCCTGGCTTGGGTGAGGCAAAGTCATAACATGTAACCAAAATGTTTGTACCCCATAATATCCTGAAATTAAAAATATTTATATATCATGTTGTAAATCAGGGGTTTTTAACCTGCACCTATTAAATTTTGTTGAAATGTTTAAAAAAGAAAAGGAAAGTAAGAAGAAAAAATCAAACAACCCAATTAAAAAGTGGGCAAAGGACATGAACAGAAACTTTGCAAAAGAAGACAGAATAATGGCCAGCAAACATGAAAAAGTGCCAGGCTCTTTTAAACAGCCAGCTTTCTCATGAACAAATGCCGTGAGAACTCACTCATTATCACAGCAGGGCACCAAACCATTCATGAGGGATCCACCCTCATGACCCAAACACCTCCCACCACGCCCTGCCTTGAACACTGAGAATCAAATCTCAACATGAGATTTGGAGGGGCCAAACATCCAAACACATCACTGGGCAAAGGCACCTCCTGAGACATTTTTGTTCTGGGACTTGCCTGCTCTTAACTTGCTGAGGTTCCATCTCTCCGTGTTTCCTTTGACGGGGCGGGACAGGACAGTCCAGACCCGTCCACCTGGTTTTCTTTCCCCCTAGACCCCAGTGAGAGCATTGTCTTTCCCTTAAGCTGCTGCCTGTGTGTGGGTGATCCATACATCCCTGCAGTTCTCTCACCTCCACGATACTCTTTCTTTGAATGTTAATATGTTTAAATCCGAACTCATCCTTCCTCCCCCTTTCCTAGTTTCTCAATTGCTACTACTTCCCAGTCTTCGAGACTTTAAACTCTTGGTTTGCAGTCCACTCTTCCACCCTTTACAACCTAGATCCAAGCTGCCGCTGTTCTGATTCATCTGCCGCAGTGTTTCTTAGAAGCTCGCCTTCTCTTTCTGTTTCACAGGTCTCTGTCTTTGCTCAGGCTTTCACTTCTTAATAGCTGAATGACTATGGCAGCCTTTTCCTAACTTTTCCCTACCCTTGATGTTTTTGTGCTTGGGTCCAGACTGTATACAGCTGTTTAAACAATCTTCCTTGAGCAGTATTTACCAGATTCTATTGATTCTAAGATATGCATGAGTTTTGGCATTTTTTTATGTCTCAGAAATCAGGATTCATCTTACAAATAAATCATGTCTCATCATGTAATTGGCAGTGCATTTATTTTTTAGTGGTGTGTATCATATTGGAGCAGCCTGCAACTGACAGTATTTTAGATTCAGTAAATTGCAGCACATTATGTCATTTATGGGAAATAGAGTAATGGAAAGAATTTTTTCTTCTGAAAAGACTAGGGTTCAAATCCTGAGTCTGAAGATAACCAAGTGCTGTGACTCTGGGCACATTGCTTGACCTCTTTGACAAAGATGACTCCTGTGTAGAGTGGAAGGCGTAGTGATGGTCTTCCAGGAATGCCGTAGGAATTAAGTGCGATAACACAAGATGCCTGGCACGTGAAAACATTCAACCAATGTTACTTTCTGTCTTCACCTTAATAATTTTTTCTCCTGATCAAGAACCTAGCATAATAAAATTATTCATTTTTATATATATATATTTATATTTATATATATATATATATATATTTTTTTTTTTTTTTTTTTTGCTTTCTAAGGATAGTAAAGGCTCTTTGTTCTGGTCCTTTCAAGGCATGTTGAAATGAGTGGTCTGATGGGTGCTTAGTGTATGGTACAGAAGGAGTGTGAATGGGAAAAAATACTCAGGAAATAGGCATTGATTGCCTCATATATGAAAAGGGATTATGCAGCAAGACAAAAACCTGGCAGTGAGGCTATTGGCTTGAGAGAAGATTTCCCCAAATTCTTTTGTGTCTTTGGCGCATTAACCAATCCTATAGGACTCTGCCAGTGGAGATCTACTCTGTAGGGGAAAGGGTCCAGTCTGTCGACACGGCAGAGCCAGGCCCACCCTGTGCTGTCTCTAGGTGAGTGGTGGGGGAGGCAGAGTTCAGCAGACTTGTCTCTCCATTCCCTTTTTCTGAGCAGAGCCTGTCTCTGCTCTCTACGCAGGACTCTGGAAATAGACTGCCCTCCAACACCCCTGCAGTCTCCCTGCAACCTGGGCATGCATGAGCCCATCATAGTCATGGCAGGAAGAGACCATGAGGTCTAACTTTGTTATCGTGTGCCACATACACTCGGTTGGGAGCCACTGCCAGACCCCATGGCAGGCAGAAGGGACCACACAAAGGCCTGTGGTGGCTGCAGAGCAATAGCAGTCTCTGACCAAGCTGCGAGGCAAAGGCTGGTCCCTGGGTTCCACCTGCCCCAAACCCAGTGTGACTTCCAGCAGCCAGGTGGCCAGCAGGCATCTCCCGGGGAGTAGGGAATGGGGAAGCCAAGCCTTTGGAGCCTCGGCATCTTGATACAAGAGCGATGAGCACAAAATAGAGGCTTCTTGAAAACACCAGTTTTTGAACTGTGGTTTAAATGGGACAGAACTGAAAGTTCACTTTATCCCACTAACCACAGGATGGAGACTTGGGCAGGAAGCCCAGACTAGTTTCGACAAAATGAAGAAGCTACGTTCTCTGTGCACATCAAAGTTGTAGGTTAACTTAAATTTTGTGGGTCTCATACGAGCTTGGCCTTACCGACAGTTTCTGAATTGAGCAATTCCTTGCTCCCACACCGCGCTCCATCACCAGCCGTGCCTCCCTGCTCTCCTTCCACAGTTTCATCTCGCAGCACCGCCGTCCCGTTCTGCCAGGCCCAGTCGCCTTCTCTGGATGCTTTTTTCTCTCCCAACTGTCTGCCTGGTCGGGAATCTCAAAAAGTATCTCACCCCCCTGAGTTATCAAAATCTGTCACTGGCTTTGTAGTTGACGAGATTTGCTGTGCCGCCTTTGGTCTTTTCTCCACGCTGTCTAATGAATCGCCCCTTTTCTGTTTTCTCGGAATCAAGTGGATGCTTCTCTCTGCAGGGAAGCCTCTCGCTGTGGAATCGCACGTCATTTCACGGGAAGGACAGAGCTCCGTCCTGTCCAGGTCTCTTCACATTCCTGTCCTGTCCATCAAAGCCTGGACAGGTCTTCCCAAGTTGACACTCCCTACGAGTATTATAAACATGTTGCATCGTCCTCCTCCCATCCCAGTGAGTGAGCCAGTTCATAAAAAGGGGAGGGGCCAGATAAACAAAGATGATGAGAGACAGAAGGAAAGGAAAGTATTACGTCACGGTTGACCTTCATGACTCCCGTTTAATTGTAAATATTGGCTGACCATTTCAGCAGCTCGGAATGGCTCTTTGGAATGCTCATGCCTGATTTCCAGGGGCAGTGTTCTTGCTCCTCTTTTATTTGTACTCATAGACAATCTTCTACCTAATGTTTCTTCTAAATATAGAGCAGTGACATTGTGGGAAGCTTCAGAATTTACTGGAGGAGCTAACTTTGCTGAGCGTTTATTTCTGCTAAATTGTGGCCGTCTGATTACACCAACAGTGAAAATCACCCAAGAGGATTAGTCCTTTAATGAACAGAATGAGAGAGATTGTTCCCCATTTGCACGTGACATTTAAGTGTCCCAGTTGAGTACAGTCACCATGAAGCCTTTTTCAAATTCTGAACACACAGCAACTATTTCTTTCTATACTCATCTTTTATTTCTTTTAGCTGGGAGGGGGACCATTCAACAAGTCTTTGTACAGTAAAAAGAGCACTCATTTAAGAGGTCTGCTTTGTCAATAATTAGATATAGCCCCTTGAAAAAGTAGCTTAACTTCCGTTTTCTCACCTATAAAGGGTTTCTTGTACCTGATCTTTACGGCTCCTTTTAGCTTCCAAAATTTATGATGCTCTGACCTCAGCATTTCTACATGGGCAGGCCATGTCGCATTTCTGTCTTTGCAGAGCTGTTCTGTGTATTCAAAAAGGCCTCCTACCCTCTCTGAAGAACAGCCTGCTATGTGCCTATCCTTCAAGTCCAGACTCACATGTTACCTCCTCATTGACACTTACCCCACATCCCCAGGGGAAGATTTAGGTGCTCGGTCCCCTGAGCTTCATTCATCATTCACAGACATTTCTTGAGCATGTACTCTTCCCCAGGCAGAGCTGTGAGTGCAGTGGGCACCACGGGGCTGAAAACACAGCCGTGGCCCTCATGGAGTTTGCAGTCTCACAGAGCACGTGGCCATAAACGACAGTGCCCAGCGCTGCTACCGCCCGGCAAGTGCAGCGTGCTGCGGGCGCACAGTGGGGCGGGGGAGGCCTGTGGGGAGACTGAGGGCCACGCTGAGCCCTGGAGGATGGGTGGAGGGAGGCGACCAGGTTAGAAGGAATATTCCAGGCAGAGGGAACATATTTTATAGGCAAATTTGGTAGAGAACCTTACTACCTTCTAGGCACTTTTTCTTAGTGCTATGTACACATTAACTTGTTTAATCCTTGCTATCAGCCTAGGAACAAATTTCTTCTTCCTCTTTTTATGAAGTAAGGAAACTTAGAAATACAAAAGTAAGTAACTGCTGAAGATCCCTACGTGAGTAAGCGGCAGGGTCGGGACGTGGACTAAGGCAGTTTAGCCCCAGCATCCATGCTCTCAACCGCGTCAGTGCGAGCCTGACTGTAGCCCAGCCACAGACAACGCGCAGCGACTGTAACCGACGCCCGTCATACGACTTTTCTAATTTTTCATTTATCAAAATAAAATTGTGAACATTTAAAAGTAACGTGATGAAAACATGTATGTATATGTTACCTGTTCTGATTTACATGACAAGTAAAGCTGCCTGTAAAGTAAAACAAGCTTCAGTGCTTTCCCGCTTCCGCAGCACAGAGAGCAGACGGCCTGGTGGCGCATGCGCGGCGCACAGCGCTGGGCCGCCGGGTGCGGCTGTGGGCGAGGCGTCCGCTGGTGAGCGCCCACCGAAGTGGATAACTTCTCTGTGCCTCCAATTTTCATCTATAAAACAGGGATAATAGTTCTTTCTACTTCATAAGTTTGTTTAAGGAGTAAACAAGTTGCTTTATGTCGTGTCTGTCTGAGTAAAAACAAAATCTTAGCTCTGGTGATCAGATTTACATTTTTAAAAGGGTGTTTCTGCCTGCAGAGCGGGTAATGGGTTAGAGGGGGAAGAAGGTAAGCAGGGAGATAGTTTAGGGAGCTGCAGTGGTAATGCAGGTGCTTGTCCACTCACAGGGTCACTCGGATACAGTGGTTGCCAAAATCCCAGTGACACGCAGGAAGAGAGGCAACTTTGGGTTTTTCACTCAAAGACATTCTTTGTTTGTGGTCACATGTCCTGCCACTGAAGGAGCTTGTCCCCCCACCCTGCAGCCTGGTTCCCTTATGCAGGGAACTTTTCCAGCCCGGATGGCCAGCAGCTTTCACCTTGTCTCTTTTCCGCTGCCCCTCAGAATTCCTGGTCCTTCTCTGTCTCTATGTGCGTTAAGCCTTAATAGTCAAGGTCCTGCCTTAGCTCATGGGTGAGCACTGAGCTCTTCCTTACATCACATCATAACTGTTAGGACTGCCCAGAGGCTAAATCTCTCAAGAACAAGGCAGCAGGTCTAGGCAGGTAGTTGTCTTCATGAAGCGCTGGGTGACCCAGCGTCCAGGCTCAGATGGCTGGGATCTCTTCCTGGTGATTGGACAGACTCCTGCGGCCAGTCCTTCCTTCCTGGGCTTGATTTTAGGACCTGCTTTTCCCAGAGTTTCCTGTTTTAGTCGTGCTCCCATATATCTCTGTCATATATTTCATGACCAAGAGGATAATGGCTGGAGACCTACATCAGTATTCGTATCGGTTCTAGCAACAGTGTAGCCATCGGTGTTGTGGAGCTGGCATTTTCTTGTGACGAGTGCCTCTGCAGCAAGGCATGCTAACAGGAAAGAGCACCACCTCCCGCGTGTGTAGACTGCAGCTCATCTGTGGCAGACGGTATCTAATAAAGCTAGTCCGAGTTTGAAGACTCTTCTTTGCTAACCTTGTTCAGCGAGGTGAACATTTTAGAAATGGGAGACAAATACTAAAACAAGGTCAGATGAGTGCTGTGTTGGCCTTAGAGAGCTGTGTCCTTAGCACAGTGATGCTGTCCCTGTTCAGGACTGTCTGAATATGCTCTGTGTTCCTTTAATATTTTTAGTGGCAGCAGATAAAAATAGATTTTATTTGCTTGAAAGAGGTAAAGGTCTTTTAAAAGCCACATCCTATATGTGTAAAGGCCAGTAAGGCTGGAAAAATACCATTTTTAATCAAAACTTCAACTATAAAATGACAAGTTGTTTTCCCTACAAAATGCGATTATTCCTAAAGGGATGCCCTGAGCAATGGCAGAATCGCCGGAATGGGTGTGCAGCCTCCCGCCATAATAACTTTGAAGAACAGCCTTCATTTCATTACTGGGTTTGTTTAAAAAAAATTAGTCGTATTATCTCTGCAGTTACAATTCTGTTTTGCATTCAGAGAGTTTCCTATGCTATAGTATGAAAAAATTGAGAAAGAAAATATTTCAGAGAATATTTAAGTTCTAAGGCTCTTTCTATAGAAAGGGTAGTATGAGGCCATCATAAATTCAGATTGGACTCTTTTTTTAAAATAAAGCATTAGGCCATTCTTTGTTTCTTACAGGTTGCTTTATTGTTAGGTAATCTTGATATTTAAGTGACAACATCTGATTTTAAGGTATAAGCTTTATTAGGGCTTACTTGCTGACTTTTTGTTTTTAGACCCTTTAGTACATTATAATAAGCATGATAAATTAGCTTCTGTAAGAATTTTTTAAAACAAGTGAGATGGTTTTAAGTAAAAAAAAGATATAATCAAATTACTTCCCTGAGCTTTTATGCTGAAATGATGAAATAAATAAAGGCACATAAAATGTGCTGTCAACAAGTTAGTATTCCAATAAGTAGTAATTAGAGTCTAGCAGCGGCAGTGCCTGGACATTAGGCTAAAGGCTAAACTTAATTTTTTAAAGTATATGATAAGTCTTGTCTTGTTGAGCATTTTAAGTTCCAAGAGTTTGTCACCAGTTATTGATCATGCAGATATGTGGTGTATCTGTTTGCCCAAAATGTTTTTTATTGCACAAGGTGGGTGTTTCATTTATTTATTTCCTCTCTGTCTTCATGGTTGCTTGGTTTTATCTTTATCATTTTCTACCCATAAATACATATGTGAAGGAACAACTTAAGGGAGGAAAGCTGGAGGCAGGAGAATATTTAACAAAGCTACTGAAGTACGAAGGCACGGAGCTATGAAGGCTGGGCGAGGGCATTGGTGGCCAAATTGGGAGGACATAGCAGATGCAAAAGCTATTAGAAAAGACCCTCTTAAGTGGCAAATATATCATGACACTTTGGCTTCTGAAGTGAATAAAATAGTAAAAATAAATAAATGAAAGCCCTGTTTTGACATTTTTATTCTGGTCATTTGCTCCATACTCAGTGACATTTCGTACTTGACTTAAACATACACCATTCTTGCACTCAACTACACTATAAGCAGGGGGTATAAGACCTGTAGAAAACTGCAGTGCAAATAGATGTGTGTTATTTTGTAAACTGCTTTATTCAATTTGCATACTATAAAACTCGCCCATTTAAAGTGTATGATGCAATGGTTTTTAGTATATTCACAGTTATGTAACAATTCAGAAAATAAATTTTAGAACATTTTTATCACCCCAAAAAGAAACCCTGTGCCCTTTAACCGTCCCTCCCCCATCACCCCATTTCCCTCCCTGCTACCCCTAAGCAACCTATTTTTTGTCTCCATATATTTGCCTATTCTAGACATTTCATATAAATGGAATCATACAATATGTGGTCTTTTGTGACCACATATTGTGACCATTCTTTCATTTAGCATAATGCTTTCATGGTTCATCCATGTTGTAGCATGTACCAGTATTTCATTGCATTACTTGTTATTGCTCAGGAGTATTCCATTAATATTACATGCATATATCATATTTATATTGGTCCATTGGTCACCTGATAGACTTTTGGATTGTTTCTACTTTTTGGCTGTTATGAATAATGCTACTGTGAGCATTCATGTGCAAGTTTTTGTGTGGACATTTTCATTTCTCTTGGATATATACCTAGGGTAGAATTGCCAGGTCATGTGGTAACTCTGTCTAACCATTTGTGAAACTACCGGACTGTTTCCAGCGTGGCTGATCCATTTTATATTTCCATTAGCAATGAATGAGTGTTTCAATTTCTCTACATTCTCTACATTTGTGACAACACTTATTATCAATGTTTTTTATTATAGCCACTGTGTGAAGTGTTATCTCATTGTAGTTTTGATTTTTATTTTCCTGATAATAATTTTGACCATCTTTTCATATGTTGAAAATTTATATTCTGTGGAGAAGTATCTCCTCAGCCCTTGTGCCCATTTTTAATTAGTTATTTGTCCTTTTACTATAGAGTTGTAGGAGTTACTTATATATGCTAGACAAAAATCTATACAAATAAATGATTTGCAAGTATTTTCTTCCATTCTGTGTTTACAGTTTTCATTGTCTTGATAGTGTCCTTTAAAGCACATTTTTTTTTTATTCTGAGGAAGTCTAATATATGTTTTCTTTGGTGATTTGTATTTTTAGTGTCATATCTAAGAAACTATGGTCAAATCCAAGGTCACAAATATTTATTCCTGTGTTTTCTCTTAAGCATTTAATAGTTTTAGCTCTTGAATTTATGTCTGTGGTTTACTTTTAACTGTTTATATGGTGTGAGGTAGGGGTTAAGTTTCATTCTTTTTCATGTGAATATCCAGTTGTTGAACACCATTTGTTGAAAAGGCTATGCATTCTTCATTGAATTGTCTTGGCACCCTTGTTGAAAATCAGTTGACCTTAAGTGTGAGGATTTATTTTTGTATTCTCTATTTTATCCTATTGATTGGTATGTCTGTCCTTATGCCAGTACCATACTGTCTTAATTTTTGTAGCTTTGTAGTAAGTTTGAAATCTGGAAGTGTAAGTTTTCTAACTTTGTTCTTCTTTTACAAGATTGTTTTGGATATCTTGTGTTGCTTGAATTTCTATATGAAATTTAGGATTAGTTTGTCAATTTCTGCAAATAAACCAGCTGGGAATTTTATAGTGATGGCATTTAATCTGTAGATTAATTTGGAGAATATTGCCATCTTAACAATATTAAGTCTCCCAATCCGCAAATATGGATTGTCTTTACACTTATTTAGATCTTCTTTAATTTATTTCAATAATTTTTTTGTGGATTTCATAGCATAAATGTTGCATATCTTTTCTTAAATGTATTCCTAATTTCTATTTCTTCTTTCTGATGCTCTTTTTAAATGTAATTGTTTCTTTAATTTTATCATAGATTGTTCATTGCTAGTATAGAAAAATACAGTGTTTTTTCTTTCTATTTTTGGTATATGGATCCTGTATCCTACAGCCTTGCTCAATTCATTGATTAGTTCTGTTTCTTTATTGAATTCCTTAGGATTTTAGTGTACCAGATCATGGCATATGGATGCATTTTGTTTTTCTTGACTCATTTCCCTAGATAGAACCTCCAGTACAGTATTGAATAGAAGTGATGAAAGTGGACATCTTTTTCTTGTTCCTAATCCTAAGGGGAAAGCCTTCAGTTTTTCTCCATTAAGAATGTTGTTAGTTAACTGTGGGTTTTTCATAAGTTTCCTTTATTGGGTTGAGGAATTTTGTTTCTATTCATAATTTGTTGAGTGTTTTTATCACAATGTTAAAGAGGGTTGAAAGGGTGTTGAATTTTGTAAAAATTTTTGTCTATTGAGATGATCGTGTGGTTTTTGTCTCTTATTCTATTAATATAGTGTATTACCTTAGTTGATGTTCTGATGCCTAGGCAATCTTGCATTCCATATAAATCCCACTTGGTTGTGTTGTATAATCTTTTTTATATGCTCCTGGATTAGGTTTCCTAGTATTTTGTTGAGGATGTTTGCCTTATATTCATAAGAAATATTGATGTATAGTTTTGAGTTGTTTTGTTTGGTTTCACTGCCAGAGTCATACTGGTCTCATAAGTAAGTTGGGAAGTATTCCCTTCTCTTCTAATTTTTGAAAAAGTTTATTAAGAGATTGGCATTAATTCTTTTTTAATGTTTCTTAAAAATTACAAGCATAGTTTTGGGTTTTTCATTTAATCTCTTCAGTTGTTAAAGTTATCTTTACGTTGTCTATTTTGTCTTCAGTCAGTTTTGCTGATTTGTGTCTCTAGGAGTTTGTCCATTTCATCTAAGTTATCTAATTCATTGACACACAGTTGTTCATAATATATACTCTCAGAATCATTATTTCTATAAGACTGATAATAATATCATTTCTTTCACTCCTGATTTTTGTGACTTAAGTCTTCTCCCTTTATTTTTATTGTCAATGCAGATAAAGTTTTGTTCATTGTGTTGATCTTTTCTTTTTTTTTTTGATGTAATTACTTAATGACACAGGAAAATAACATGTTATGAAACAAGCTAGTTACCAGTAGGCAGAGGATGATTTCACTTTTGATAAAAAAAATAAAAATGCATATGAATATGCACAGAAAAAAATTGGAAGTTTATATACCACAATATCAACAGTATTTTACTTCTGTTCAGTGATTAAATATTCTTCCATTTGTATATTTTTTAAAACATGATTATTTCTGAAACAGAAAAGAAAAACAAGATACTGGAAACATTCATGAGTTAGGAATCCAAGAAGCCGGGAGCCCAGCAGTCAAGGCTTGAAACCCAGGACAGCCAAGGTGACAGCAGTCAAGCCCAGATCGGGAGCACTGTTCTTTTTCCTACTGGAATGTTAATTATCAGACTGTTTCCTCTATATTTGATGTTCTCAGTATACTCTTATTTAATGGGACCCTATGAATAATAATTGGCACAAAAGCAAAATGCTAGCAACTTTTGTTCTAAGTCTGAAATGCGAACTATTTTGTAGTTATGTAACAGCAGTCCCCAACCTTTTTGGCATCAGGGATCAGTGTCACGGAAGACAACTTTTTCCACAGACCGGGGGCAGGGGGGTTGGTTTCAGGATGATTCAAGCACATTACATTAACTGTGCAGTCAAACCTCTATGCTAATGATACTTTGTATTTGTAGCTGCTCCCCAGCACTAGCATCACCGCCTCAGCTCTCCCCCAGATGTTCAGGCAGTAGATTCTCATGAGCACTACCTAGATCCCTCACATGCGCAGTTTACAGTAGGGTGTGTGGCCCGAAAATCTAATGGCAGGAGGCAGAGCTTATGCGGCGATACAAGTGATGGGAAGCGGCTGTCAATACAGATGATGCTTTGTTCCCTTGCTGGGCGCTCACCTCCTGCTGTGCCCCACGGTTCCTAACAGGCCACAGACCCTACTGGCCCATGGCCTGGAACTGCAGACCTACTACATCAAAGACATGAGAAAGGATGTGCTCCTGCAACAAAAAAATGCATCTGACTAAATCACTGACTTAGCTGTTTTTTTCTGACCTATTGG